AGCTTGGGGGGCGGGGTGGGAGGGAGGAGGGGCTTCTAGTATAACTGGGAAGTGGTCCCAAGAAGTTCCACGGCGGTGGAAGTTAGCTTGCCAACCTCTCCAAGCAGGCTGGTGCGCTTCACTCCTGGTCCCCAAGTATTCCGTAATGTGGGGGCCTCGGGGACATCGAACTTGAGGGCTGAATAACTGGCTGAGGGTTGGGGTGGGTGTGTTTATGGCGCTTGGCGTCGGGCCTGGCTAAAGCGTCTCGATGCTTTTGGCTAAGCTTGACTGCCTCTGCCTCTCTGCTAGGCTTGAAGGGAGGCGATCTGGCTGCGCAAGCCCCCAGACCCCCTTCAAGCCTCTGACTTGACTTCCTTTGGGCGCCTTGTCTTTCCGGGCTAAGGAACGCGGTGATGGGAAGGGGAAGGGGAAGGGATGGATACAGGTGTTTGGCTGAGCTTCCCGGACGGGTGCTTGAGAGGCATCCTTTCCAAGGGATGGCACGCGGGGTGGCGGCGCGATTCTGGAGAATGACGTCTCTGCCCTTTCTCGGCCCGCGTGCAGGAGGCCCGGACGCCAGCCAGGTGCCCAACGGCAAGCGGATGAGGACCGCGTTCACCAGCACGCAGCTCCTGGAGCTGGAGCGGGAGTTCTCTTCCAACATGTACCTGTCTCGGCTCCGGAGGATCGAAATCGCAACGTACCTGAACCTATCGGAGAAGCAGGTGAAAATCTGGTTTCAGAACCGCCGGGTAAAGCATAAGAAGGAAGGGAAGGGCGCGCAGAGGAACAGTCACGCGGGCTGCAAGTGCGTCGGCGGCCAAGCGCACTACGCGCGCTCCGAGGACGAGGAGTCCCTGTCGCCCGTCTCTGCCAGCGAGGACAAGGAGATTTCCCCCTTGTGAGCGAGGGCCGCCTCCCCCCCAGGACCCACTCCGGGGAACGCCCCCAAAGCAAAGGGGGAAGGCGCCCAGGGGTCAAAATCCTCGCCCATCCCGCGGTTCCAGCCGAAGGACCGCGCGGCGCGCTCGGGACGCACAAGCCGGGCCTGACCCTTCGCGTCTACTCTTGGACCTGTTTGTTTAGTGTTCCACTCTCAGTAATAGATTTTTAAAATGTAAATAACTTAGATTCAACCCAGTCTTGTCATATAAGAGAAAAAAACAGCGTTGGTTTACGTTTAGCACTGTATGTTTTTTGTTTGTTTGTTTGTTTGTTTTTTAAAGAGCTTGCCATTTTCCCTCCCCTACTGTCTTATAGAACCTGATAAGAACACCAGGCTTCTTGATTATTCCCTGTTTAAAATAAAAGTATTGATTTGTGAATAATTTAGAAAAGTAAACCCTGTAAGTCTTGCTTTCTGAAAAATTTCCCCTGGGAGAGTTTAAAATCCAAGCGCTGGAACTCCTTTTTATGTGAATAGTTTTATATAAAATTTATATTTATATTTATTTAAATAAATGAAACAAAATCAAGGTTTTGAATTCATGCTGTTTGCTCTCACCACCTTCCCCTGTCTCCCTCTCCCCCGTGAACAAGAAAAAAGTGTCTGTGAATTTAGATGGAAATGTTGACTAAAACTTGGTAATGTGGGTCTCTCGGTTGAGGGAGTTTGGGGCTCTGGGATTCCTGTGTGACAGAAACTTCTGCAAAGGAGACACCTTCAGTCAAGATGCCATCTACCAGGTAGTACAGCCCACCCTCTGAATAGCCAACCTCCTCAGGGTTGACTGCAAATCACTCCATTTACGGTGATGCTGACAATTAACGACAGGCCAACCTTTTAATTTATTTATCGAGAAAAGATGAAAATCCCTTACCTAGTATTTCTTTTCGGTGGCAGTCCCCCTTTTATTATTCTTCCTCATCTCTCTTAGTCCTGAAAACTGAATTATGGGGAGGAATTTGAATAGTTGGAAAAGTCCTAGAAAGAGCAACAATCCATCAAAGCAGGTTATAAGCAAACATGGAAACTTACAAATAATGTTGTAAGTGACTGGAAACATTGCCACGGGTTGTTCCTCTCGCTAAGAAATTAGCTGGTTTTCATCAATGCCAAGAAAACAAAAGGTTACATTCTCACTTTTCTTAAATAGCTCAAAGGTGCCTTTGGACTCTCGTTTTTATTTTATTTTTTCTGGCCTCCCTAACTTTAACCTAAATTGTCTCCTCTCTAGTACCTCTCTTCCCACCCATCCTTGCAGAGTTAATTTCTGCAAGCCTGTTCCTGGAGGAGAGTGTGGCTGTGCCCTCCAGGGCAGCCCGGCGCTCCCCTCAGTGCTGCCAGACCCTGTCATCTAGGAGAGAAGTGAAGCTGGAAAATGGGAACTAAAAGAGGTCATTTTCTGCAACCTGAATCTCACTAACATCCACTGGTGTCATTACTGATTATTTTCTGTAAAGAGTCCACCCAAGAGGTCAAACCATAGGAACTTTTTTACAACACACAGGTAGGGACTTCTAGGTCCGAATTACTTCGGGTCTGTAGTAACTGAAGCCTCACCAGGTGGGCCTGGGGCTCTAAAACTGAGGTGGGGGCGCTAATTTGGGAAGGAGGGGAAAGGAGGGGGGATGTGACCTTGGTTTTCCTTCCCAGAGCCTCTCTCTCTCTCCCTCCCCCTCCCTCCCCTTCCCCACAGGACTAGGAAATCCTTTCAGACCCTGGAGGCCTGTCAACAATTCCAATTCGGGCACCGGCCCGGAGAGACCAGAGGGGGAGAGCACTGGCGGTGCGCCCCTGAATCCCGACCCGGCGCCGCTTTATGCAGCGACGCGGGCCTGGCCCTGCGCAGTGGTCACC